AGAGAGAGAGAGAGAGAGAGAGAGAGAGAGAGAGAGAGAGAGAAACAGTATCTTCTGACTCAACAGTCTTCTGTAACTATGTCATGACCTGATCAAGGGGTGGCATGTGTGACCCTCCCCATTGATCCTGGTGCGTCTTTGTGACTGATTCAATCAATACGTGAAAGTGATACCCTGATGGTTAATCTTGATTGGATCTGGAATCAATTAGCTGCACACCTCTGGTGGTATGTGAGGGTTTCTAGGAAGGATTAAGAGAGGGGAGAAGCCCCTCGCCCAAGAGTGGGTCACACCTTCTGGTGACAGCCCAGGTAGGAAGAGGTTCCAAGGAAAAGTAGCTGCTTTGCCTGCTCACCTTTGCTTGGTGACAGAACCAGCTTCTTCTGTCTTCCAATATGGATTAAAGATGAGCAGCTCTCCAGGAATCCCCCAACTGTTCAGCATCAGAATGTGACTGTTGAGGCATCCAGCCTTATGGATTGAGCAGGTGCTGGTTCAGTCTCTGCAGTGTGTATACGGACTTTATGGGACTATCTAGCTCTCATTGTGGAGGCCAATCTGATAACCACCTTTTATAATATAGACTCATTCTATCAGCTCTCTTCCCCTTGAGAACCTTGACTAATACTGGATATTATGACTTCTTTGGTGGCATGTGAAAGTGTCATACACTTCTCCCATTGGATGCTTACTCTTGCAAACATACTGTGAAGCAATCTGTGAAGCCCATGAGGAGGCCCATGAGGAGAGGAACTGACTGGAGATCATGGTACACAGATGATAGCATCGATCTCTAGTGAGCCACTAGACTCTGACCAGCACATCATGGCATAGCTCCAGAAGATAGCATCAAACTTTGTTGAGCCACTCTGCACTTGGATCTCTGTTTCAGGTGACATGCTGCAAGCGATGTCACATGGAACAGCAAAGAGCTGTCCCCAGTTAAGTCTTGACGAAATTACAGACCCATGATCATCATTGTTTTAATGTCCTATATTTGGGAGTGATTTGTAAATAGATACTGAAGCAGCTGGAGTCAGCTGGGCCCTAAGTGCATCACAGACATTGGGATACAAACAGCCAACCTTGAGTCAGTCCTTCCCACTGCTTACTGTTTGCTTTCTTTGGTCTCCATCACCCCAGCTTCCCCCTTTCCTGACATCATCTACTTATTTTTCATTGTTTTGATTACTCTTCCCTAAATCCCTTCTCAGGTTTTTAAGACCCCAAGCTAGACACATTATGTTAATAAAGGCTTGATTAAAGCTGAGAG